GATTGTGGGAACTATCCTGATTTTGTGCCGGTGAGCTCGTTTAATCCGTGGTTTATTTTCTCCAGTGCATGTCGATCAAGTCCTGATGTTGATCCATGGGAAGATCAATACCCCGAGTTTGGGTGTTTTTCGCCAGCGTTTTTCAGCTGCTTGGAGGTTACCCAGAGAAACTTGAAGATCCTTGGGATCATTGTGCTGGTTTCGATGGAATTCACACATCAAAAGTCACCCGCCCTTCGGTTGCGGGAATATTCACCCCAATTTTGCGATTCTATAGTGTGGTAAACCGCCAGAAACCATCCTCGGTACTATAAATAAGTAGGATCACAATCATCCCCAAATGGTAGTTGTTTATGGCGCTTTGTTTCTCAGATTGCATCATACAATAATCCCCAAACTAGTCATCTACCAACCATCATTTATCAGTTAGATCCACAGTTGTTTTGCATATGGTAATTCTACCATTGGTTTGGTTTAACGGAATATCTGAACCAGACACCATTATTACCACTAAACATGAGCGTGTTTTCCTGCAGATTTTCCCTTCTTCCACAATCCAAATTGATCTTGACAATTGTAGCCGTGGAAACTCCACTCTTCCAACTTCCATCCATTTAATGGATGAATTGATGGGTTTTCCCCATTGAACTGGAGCATTCTGCAGGATTTTCCCCGAGGATTTCCCACGTCTCCGAGAAACGCCGAAACGCCTCGCTACAGGAGGAGGCATCTGAAGACAACGTCCATGTCACTGGCGCCTTGGTTCACCAGCAATGGCTAATATCATTGTCTATTTATGGTGATTTATCATTGTTATTGTGATTATCATGGTGATATATCATTATTGTTGTGATTATCATGGTGATTTATCATAGTTATTGTGATTATCATGGTGATTTATCATTGTTATTGTGGTTTATGGTTTTATACCACCTATATATTTATGGTGTTTTTTTTTAAAAATAATTGTCTTACAAAACACCTACGAAACACCTACAGGGTATGGTTTATTTAAATCACCAGGTTTATTGTAATGTCTAGCCTCGTAAAAATGGTGATGACTGGGAATATGTATGGCTGATTAATATGTAGTTAGTGGTTCATAAACCTCATCATAATGGGATATAGCAGGATATTCATGGGAATGGTGAACATGGTGAAATTGGGGATGGCTTATTATTGTTTTACGACACACCTACAGGGTATATGTGGGGGGTTCCAGAAATGGGGATATCCCAACAGCTGGATATTTTTTTTTGGAAAATCCGAAAATCACATGGATGATGACTGGGGGTACTCCTATTTTCGGAACCCCCCATATGTGTATATGGCTGTACGGATAAGTTATACGTTGCTCAGTTTTTAGGACTCTATGAGGATACGAATACATATGACTTATAATGAGCAACAAAAAGGATGCACTGTGATTTATGGGATATAAATAGAATTAAATAGTAACTCTCTATCTAAGACTATCTCTGATTCATAGGCTTATAATTAGGATTTATCAGGGATATATCTATAGCTAGATTTTATCTATATGCTTTCTCTAGGCTATCTATATAATTTATCTAGGATATTAGCCAATATATATTATATATAGGGTAATACTGGGTATACACTATATATATAACGATAATAATGATAGGTAATTTAACAAAACCTATGAACTAGATACCTACGAACTGTGGATGAATGATACCTGATCTAATTCATAGGATATTCATAGGCTTATAAATACGGTTTATGGTGGATGTATATATCTAAATGCATAATTCATAGGCTTTAGATTGGTTTTGGAACTATGAAATGGACACAATATATAAATGCATAATTCATAATAAGCAACTTACGACTTACAGTGCAACACGTAAAAGGACACATATAGATATACATATATGTAAATATTTATACAGATGTAAGTTAAAAGCTGCTCATATAAAGGGATTATGGGGACACATATACGTATAACTTATAATGAGCAACATACCGAATGTAATATGATATATGGGATATACATAATCGCTCTATCAATCTATCTATCTACCTATCTACCTATCAACCTATCAACCTATCTACCTATCAACCTATCAACCTATCTACCTATCTACCTATCAACCTATCTACCTATCAACCTATCTACCTATCTACCTATCTGTCTGTCTGTCTATCTGTATCTATATCTATATCTAAATCTAAATCTATCTATCTGTATACCTATCTACCTATGTACCTATCTATCTGTCTATCTATCTAATCTAGTCTAGTATAGTCTGGTCTAGTCTAATCTAATCAATCCATCCATCCATCTTTCTATCCGTTTACCTAGAACTTGTAGGAACAAACAAACTATGGGCATACCATGGGATATCATGGGACATCAGGATATATAATGGGATATATATATATAATGTACAATGATACATAGTAAGATACAAGCAATATGATATCTTTGGTTTGTCCACCAATGGAGGATGCCGTTATTTCAACCATTTTGGACAGGAACCGAGAAGCGAACTAAACCACGGGAGATTGGAGCAACCCCATTTCTGGACAATCCGAGGTAGGTTCGACGTGGTGCCCAGACACAGCAGACCGAACGCTTGCAATGGTCAGTCAACTTGAAATACCATCGGGTAATATAACATAGCCATGGAACATGGTCTGTTTATAGAGGATTTACAAAAAAAAAGATGGTTTTCCAGTTCGCAAACTGTTGAATTTCCAGGTTCTACCCCAGAACTGGCGGGACCTACATCCGCGCATCCCCTGGTTCCATTCCCATGGCGGGATGCTTCATGGATCCCATGGATCATTCCTTTCGATCCTCTTTTGTTTGTCTGAAAATAGGGCGATATATAAGCTATATCACATATATCTACTGGTTCATCATCATTTCTCCATATTTCTCCCACTAAAATGCAATCCACCAGGGAGGTTTAATCCACCATCTTCACAGTGACACATCGCCGCTGCACGTTACTGGGTGAACCGCGCCACAGAGCAATTCAGGTCGCTCTTGGCCTAAAGTGGCACCAGAGGGAGTTTAGAACAAACGGGGAGCTACTGCAACCATGCAAATTAGAAGTTACGGATAGTTACGGTGTATATGGCAACCACAATTTCGAGCAACACTCCAAATTTTCCCTTAGTTTAAAACTTCAGTGTTTCCCAATTCCCAATTCCAATGGCCATAAATTGGTACCCCATGAGACAAAACCACCACAGTTTGGGACCCAAATCCCCAGAAAATTTGCCAATTTGGACATGGCTGAAACTAGGTCACGCTTGAGGGGTGTTCACCCCGGTTCCAATCCAATAATTTACTAAAGGTTTCTTTCGTAATTTCTGCTGATCACAGATATCCCCTAACCTTTCTAATTACATTTGCGTACATTTCTTGTTGGAAGGGTCAACAGTTTGAATCCGAGCGGTGTTCCAAATCCGCAACGTCATTCCACCAAATACTGCTTGCTTAAGAACGGGATTGCAAGCTCGCGGATGATGATCATCCATGATCATCCCCAAAATATTGAGTTATTGGGTAAGATAACTTGTAAAATCACCAAACTACATAATCATCAACTAACCATCATTTATCAACTGTATCAACTATATTCCAATACCATCCAATACCTTTTGCCGCTTCAATCTCCATCAAATAACAATGATGGCATCCACCGGGATGTCAAAGCCACTGCTCCACTGATACCCAACGTACCACTGGGGCCAACACGAATCTGATTCGCTCGACGGGTAGGGTCTCGGCGGAGCTCTCTTTTCGTTTTCCATGGCCAGTTCGAGATACCCGGTGACCCGGTGCGTCTGAAATTGGGGTATGCCATATACCACCAATAGCCATTCACATAGGCAAAAGCATGATTAACCAATGGAAATGGGGTACCCTATTTTCAGAGAAATGCTAATATGTTTTTGTCCATCTTTCCAACAAGGGATCCAGCCCGTCTTTCAGGCTATCCTTCCCAATGGGTTGACTCCAACTGGCTGTTGTTTGGGTGTAGCCTCTGGTAAACGTTTACATTTTGCTATAGAACATCACCATTTTTAATGGTAACACTCACTATTTCGACTGGGCCATTTTCCATAGCTATGTCACAAATTACCAGAGGGTACTAATCAACATCCCATTAAACCATGAAATCCCATTAAATGACCATTAAATTCCAGAAGCTAGCCATATACTTATCAACATCCCATTCTTTGCCACAAAAAAGGCTGGGAGTCCCCCACCGCATTGGCTTCGGGAGTGATGTAATGACCTCCAGTCGCGACTCAGGAGCAGCTACGGTAGACATGGCCGGTAAAGAAAATGATCCCAGTCATGGATAGTCATGGTAGGTTTATGGCATTCCCACATCAGGTCATAACTTCAGAGTACCAAAAGAGACGAACTTAGCAATGGACCAATCTAATCCCAATATGACTGTAAATCATTATGAGCCGCTGCAATGTAAAAATCATGCTGGAAAAACCTATGACACATCGAAACATCTCAGGAGGTTTCCTGAAATGGACCCCCAAATCATCCATTGGATTTTCGGATTTTACTTATTTTTTTTACATGAACCATCCAGCTATTGGGGGTATCCCGCATCCCATATCATCCCATCATAGTCCAGGAACGCCCTTCCACATTCAGTAGTGCCAAGGGGTGCGAAGCTTTGAAAAAGGTCATTTGGGGGTTATACTTCCGGTTTCAGACCCAAATCATACACCTGGAAGCTCTTGAAGAACTCGTGGCCGAGGCCGGTTGCTGTTTCAGGAACCTTTCATCTGAATTTTCGGCAGGATGTTGCCTTATAAAACAGTGTACTTCACAAAAAAATATATGTATATATATTCTCATGTTTCGGGATACCTTATCAAACATCTCCAACCATCTCCACCTTCGGCCATAGACTTACCAGCAATCTATTCACCATCGACGTCGCTTCCCACCACCACCGTGCAGCGCTTGGCTCAACGTTTTCGGCCAAGTTTTAGGTACCCTTCCAGCCAGTGAGGAATTTCCATAAACGCCACCAGTAAGCCTTCACCTCACTCTCCGCAGCGCTCACCTTCAGTCGAACTCGAAAACTGAGTTGTCTGGTGCTATCAACATATGGTTAATAGGGAATCTCCTATTGGATTATTATCATCCCCAACATATTGGGTAGTATAATCCCCTGTAATCATCAACCAACAGGGTTTTTGAACACTTGAACACTGCTCATGTATCAGCTATCAACACTTTTTGCTTCACCGAAACCATTGTTGTTTTCGATGTGACCAAGCAAAAGCCTCCGCAAAATGGGAGGACCCGACTGATAAAGCAGCTGTGCGACTGAAACCAACCACTTAGCCACAGATTTTTTTTGGTCTCCCCCTTCTGCGCCTCTTGGATGTTGCCTTCGATATCTCCAGTTTTTGACCAGAAGATGTACTTGAAGATATCCAAATCTGGATACCAAAACCTGGACACGACAAAAAGAAAACCCAGAAAAACGTTTGATCAAACTTCGACTGGTTGGTGGGTGAAGTTCAAGCCCTGAAAATTAAAGCTCGTCATTGGGGATCATCATCTCTGAGAGAATAATTCATATTTGAAACCACGAACCAGGTATATTTGCTGATTCTTTGTGCAGGGAGATTCTCATTGCAGCCGCCATTCAGAAGCATAAATAAACATTTGCTTCGGGATTACGGTTGGCCAGCGCCGCCAACCCTGGATCATTCCCTTCTAAGGGGTTCGTAGATTGAATGAGAGCTTTTTCATGAAACCACTTTGTAGAATTCGCATGTTTCACAGCTGCAAGGATGAACTGGGCATGGATTCTTGGATTGCCAACTAAAATATGCCCAATAGATTCCCAATATGACGGTGGAGTACTGGGAAAATCCACCCCAGGGGTTGGTAACTGTCCCATTTTGGGAATATTGGACATCACCTTATAGTAGCCATGGCATTGACCATATACCGATTTTGGTTGGGTGATGTTCAATGGGGACATTTAATGACCCATGCACCATCAGCGATTTTCCATCGAGTGCAGAGAAGTGACACCCGTCGATTGTGGCCGGTGTGATAAATATCAATGGCATCTCCGTGTTCCAGTCGGGGTTGCATCTGCGTCACCTCAAGAATCATTGTGTCATGACGGGCCATAGGGCAGATCTTTATCAGCCAGCGTTTATGGCGATCATTAACCGATTATTAACAATTATTAACCATTATCAACTATTATTAACCATTATTAACCATTATCAACCATGATTAACCATGATTTAACCATTATTAACCATGATTTAACGATGATTTAAGAACTTATCTATACTTATTATATCATGGGGCAAACTCCGCTCCTAGATCCCCAATTTCATCGCTCGTTTCGCGGTGGATGGGGCTGGTGGATGGAATAAACATAGCACCATTGAAAAAAGTGTAATTGACTACACAAGAAAACTAAGAAAACCCATTTTTTCGGAGGGTAATTTACAATAACCCTTGGCTACACATCTTTGGTGAAGTTACACGTACATGATTTCCACGTCATTTTGGTTAGAATTTCACGATCATAGATATAAAGTACAAAAAGGCGGACTGCGCCATCATTGACCCCAAAGATCTCATGAATCTCATGGCTAATGTCATGAAGAAGGCCAATGTTTAGCGGAATAATTCGTATAGCTGTAGCTCATTTTTCCACCATTCTGGCGAAAAATATAATCATTGCCAATCTTAGATACCCTGCAACAAATTGTTTTTTTTGCTGGTTAGTAGATATTCCCATTAATATCAAAACACTAAAGGATTAAAGTATCCATGTAAGATTGACCTAGTAATCCAGTCACTTAAATTATCGTTCATGTGTCAGTTGACCCAGGCTTTTGGAAGACAGGTCGATTTTAACACAGCTTGACATCAATGGGATTCAACACCTAGATTGGAACAGCAAAGAGGACTGTTCTAAAGGGTATCTAAGCATTCACAAATTGGACAACACCAAAAAAGTGGGTTTAAGACCCACATAAATCCAAATCATGGATTTCAACAACTCCTATAAAGATGTAACACCTGGAAAGGAGACTTGAACAGCGGCAAAGATAGAGCAACACCTAAAACAAGTATGTTAAAATCTGCATCCATCACAAACATGGAACCCAAACATGTCAATCTCCGTAAAATAATGCAGGATCTGCCAATAGTCGCCTTCCAGAGGTCTATGACATTGGGCATACCGTCAGTTAAACATGGCGTGGTGGAATTTAGCCTCCTGGAACATGCCGTTAATCATTGGGGATGGTCCAACATCACGGCTAGATACACAGCAAAAAACTATCAAAGATGGTCATGATGAAATATATCCCCATTTATAACAAGCGATTAAGTTGGACTAAATTACTCGATTTCCCCAGTCTAGTATTGTTGGTTCTATCAATTGTGTCCTCATTCCATCCCATCCCCTCGCCATTCCACTTCGTAAGTCTGTGGCCATGATTACAAGGGTGAAATATCCAGGCAGGTGGGGGTTATACTGAGATTATCAAGGTTGGGGTTTTCCAGAATTCAGTATCCCAATGATATCCCCACATTGCTGGCTATATCACAACAAATTATATACCCATCCCATCAAAAGGACACTAATGACAAACCTGGATTCATCAACTTTGTTTTCATTAGGGGGATGGCAATCCCCCACCCAAGTCCCCAAGCATAGTGATTTAAGTTCATCCCTTACTACCCTCCAGTAATCAAGCATGGCTTGCTGGAAAACCTACCATGAGCTTCGATGAATTTTCCCAGCCTGCCATGTGGATGCACAAAGTATCATCATTTTGTCCCCAATATCACCCGATGAAAATTCCATTGTCCATTTTATCCTTTTTTTTGATCTGCAGAATCCCATGTCATCCAGTGAAATTCATCATTTCACCCATCATTTTCCCCACTCCAAACTAAGGGATCTTCCCAGTGGGAAGAACATCCCATCCGATGGTCCTCGCCTCTTCGGCAAAGGCATTCAGCGGCCGCACTCCTTTGACCTCCTCGCCAAATTCGAAGGCCAAACCGTCCTGCGGCTGCGGGGAGCGTTGTGGGTGTGAAATAGGTGATAATCATACATTAACAATATATATATAAGAACATATATATATAATAACATATATATATAATAACATATATATATAATAGCATATATATATAATAACATATACATATAATAACATATATATAATAACATATATATAATAACATATATATATATATAATAACATATATATCTATAATAACATATATATATATATAATAACATATATATAATAACATATATATATAATAACATATATATATATAATAACATATATATAATAACATATATATAATAACATATATATATATAATAACATATATATATAATAACATATGTATATATATAATAATATATATATATAAATAATAATATATATATAGAAAACATATCTATACAGTAGTTGCTTATAATATATTAATCACATGTAACCTCACATATCATCATTTTGCGATGTGTCTTTGCAGAAAGTCGGCACATGGCCATGGTTATAGGTTTTAAATCCTGAAATTGGGCGTTGAGCAGCCCAAATCTGGATTTAACCTGCAAAAGTAACCGACGAAAATGGGAGCTATGACCAGCAGAAAACAAGAATGATTGTTTATAATGGGTAACTAATAGTAGCCTATAACGGCTATATATAATGGTTATGTCGGGAATTCAGTGAGAACATATGGGAATATCATGGGATATGCAACAGGTTTGGGCCTCTAAGTTGAAAACAAACTAAACCATTTACCCTTTGGTAATTTAAAAGTTTGCTACTGAAATTGCCCATAGAAATAGTTGATTTACCTACAGGATGGGGCCCCCTAGTTATAAGCTGGTTTATAACCCAATCTAAATATGATTATAAATATCATACACTATTGTTATTATAGTTGTAAGCCAACTTAGCTAACTATGGGGCCCCACCCTGTATTAAAGATGGTGATTTTCCAGTTCGCGAACAGTTAGTTTACCAGAGGCTAGTCGTCGGTGAGCTGCACCATTGGGTCCTCCTTGGTCAACAGCGTATCAAAGTTTTTGCCTCGCAAACACAATGCCAAAGTTGCCCTGATTCAAGTTCAAGTGATTTTTGGGTGATTTACTGAACGATTTCAGGGTTTTAAACTTGGTAATTGAACTATGTAAGATGTGACACCAATGCTTAATATATACTACATATACTATATATACTATATATACTATATATACTATATATACTATATATACTATATATACTATATATACTATATATATACTATATATACTATATATACTATATATACACTATATATATACACTCTATATATATATATACTACTATATATACTATATATACTATATATACTGTATATACAGTATATACAGTATATACTGTATATACTGTATATACTGTATATACTATATATACTGTATACATCCCCATATTGGTCAAATATATATATATATGGGATAGGGGATAGCAAGGAACCGACCCAATCTCAGGCTGCCACGACTCAAGCGACCCAGATCTCGTTGATGGTTAAGATTTGCTGTGAAAAACGCCGTGAAGGGTCACGTGTGGGGGGTTGGGTGAATCCCGATTGTATATTCCCATTGTATCACCATTTATACATATATATATATATATATATATCCATTATGTCTTCATTCTTTCCACATGATACCCAGTAAGCTGCCCCCTATATTCCCATCATACTATGAAAGATCCAGTACTCAGCCAAGCTAACCATGCCAAGTGGCCATACTTCTCCACTAAGCCGTGTCCAAATGCGCAAATGTTTGACGATGGTTTCCTAGGAAGGCAATCGGCATCGGCATCACACCCTGAGGTTGCTACAGTTATGATCTTTGCCAAGGACAACAAATGAGACATGACTAGACAATGTACAAAGATTATCAGCAAATATATATATGTATATGTATATGTAAATGTATATGTATATGTATATATTTACGTATATGTATACATATGTAAAATTGCCAAACATACAATACAATATAATATATCATACAAATTTGCATGTCCCTTTTGCTGTCTAGTTACATCATGTTGCATCATGTTGCATCATGTTGCATCAACATCTCTCATAGCCACGCACACACACACATGTGTGTGTATATATATATAAATACATATATCGATATACCCAGAGCTAAGGTTCACTACACTATCGATTTTGCACCTCAGTATATAGTAATGATTTTAGTAATGGGTCAATCCCAATACCAAAAAACCATCCCATTAGCCGTCCATTTGGGGTCATTTTACATCATGTTGCCATCCGGTTGATCACATTATGATCATTTATACAATGTGATGCCCACCCCGGTGCCATTTTATGTTGGTCTTTTTCAGCACACTAACTAGTTCGGTATATCTACCATGAGTCTGCTTGTGAAATTAGAGTTATGTTCACCAACTTAGCTATCATAAATCGACTATAAATCCTGTTAAATCGTCATTTTTCGTGGGTTTACCCTGGATTAATTTCACATTATGAACATCAAACAGTCACCAAAATTCATTCGTTCATCCCCAAAGTGGCCATGGTCACAATCCTTACCTACCTTGAGATCAAAAACCTCATCAATGTGATATACTTTTCTATCATCGAAGGAAGTTTCGAAGTCAAACTTCCGACAATATGGACAGATGGAAAGGCAGAGGTGGGAAGAGTCAGAGAGGAGAAGAGAAGAAGAGAGAAGATCAGAGAAGAGAAAGCTGAGAAGAAAGAAGATACAGGCGGGTGAAAAGGTAGGAAAGTCGCGATTCACTGTGTTTTTCCAATGATTTGTGGCTCAGGAGGGTTGAAAAGTAGGCTTGCTAAAGCGGTGGGTGCGGAGCCATCTGGCCGGATGAGAGATGAAAAATTGCAGTTGTGTCGCCAAGCACTTTTTGAAGTCAAAATGTACCAAACACCTCACGTTCGGAACACTTTTGGAAGTTGAGATGTTGAAAAGGTGCATGCCGTTGTGTCACGAAGCACATTTTTGAAGTCAAAATGTACTAAACACCTCACGTTCGGAGCACTTTTGGAAGTTGAGATGTTGAAAAAGTGTACGCCGTTGTGGCGCGAAGCACATGTCGAAGTCAAAATGTACAAAGCACACCATTCTCGGAGCACTTTTGGAAGTTGAGATGTTGAAAAAGTGCACGCCGCCGTGGCGCGAAGCACATTTCCAAGTCAAAATGTGAAAGCACCACATGTTTGGACCACTTTTGGACGTTCCAATGTCGTTTCGTGTGGCAGGCGCAAGGGATTGTGCACCTTGTCAAAAGTTAGCAAAACGTGAGGGTTTTGTAGCAGTTTCATTACTAGTGGCAGGCGTGGGACATTTGAACACGATCCGCGAAGAGGCATTTCGCGTGGCAGGTGCAGTACAAGAGACATGTTCCTCAGAGATGTTAGGAGGTCCGGGCACAAATTTCCTGAGATGGGTTGCATTTTGGAGCATCAGATCCTTAGGTTTGGTAAGATGATTTTTTGTCACAAGTGCAGCACTTTGTATGATCTGGCAGCACTTTTTCGTGGCACGCGCAGTACTTTAGACAGGTGGAATGGAAAAAACGCAAAACGAATTGGTACGAGGCCGTCACCTTTGCTCTCAACTTTCCATTTTGCAGGAAGTCTCGCAGAATTTCTTCGTTTTTGATGGCGTCAACTTGGAAACTTTTGAAGAAAACTCGCAGAATCGCGTTGTTTTTGACGTTGTCCAGTTCAATAATTGAGGAGGTCTCGCAGAATTGCTGCGTTTTTGATGTTGTCAAGTTCTAAAGCTGAGGAAGTCTCGCAGAATAGCTTCAAGCTTGCAGATAGACAGATAGATAGATAGACAGCTACAACTACAAGTACACTAGTAGCAATACTGCTACTGCTACTGCTACTGCTACTGCTACTACTACTGCTACTGCTGCTGCTGCTGCTACTACTACTACTGCTGCTGCTGCTGCTGCTGCTACTGCTACTGCTACTGCTATACTACTACTACTACTGCTACTACTACTACTACTACTACTACTAACTACTCCAACTACTACAACAACTACAACAACAACAACTACTACTACTATTATTACTACCACCACCACTACGACCTCACTACGACCTCACTATGACCTCACTACGACCTCACTACGACCTCACTACGACCTCACTACGACCTCACTATACGACCTCACTACGACGTCACTACGACTTCAGTATACGACCTCACTACGACTTCACTACGACCTCACTACGACCTCACTACGACCTCACTACGACTTCACTACGACCTCACTACGACCTCACTACGACCTCACTACGGCCTCACTACGACCTCACTACGACCTCGCTACGACCTCACTACGACCTCACTACGACCTCACTACGACCACTACGACCATTACGACCACTACGACCACTACGACCACTAGGAACACTACGACCTCACTACGACCTCACTATGACCACTACGACGACTACGACCACTACGACCACTACGACCTCACTACGACCTCACTACGACCTCACTACGACCTCACTACGACCTCACTACGACCTCACTACGACCTCACTACGACCTCACTACGACCTCACTACGACCTCACTACGACCACTACGACCATTACGACCACTACTACCACCACCATCACCACCATCACCATCACCATCACTTCCACAACTACAATTACAAGTACAACTACACTACACTAGTTACACTGCAGCACACTACACTAGTTACACTGCAGCACACTACAGCTACAACTAACTACAAAACAACTACAACTACACTACATTACACTACACTAAGTACACGATACTACACTACACCACACTACATCCAGCAGTTGTGGTGAGGTGACCACTGCAACCACTGCAACCACTCCAAAAAACACAACTCCAACCACGTTTCGGTCCATCAATGGGTTGGCCCTGCCATCCGTGAGTCACAACAACCAAACTCTCCTATAGTTTTCCTATTTTTGAAACTTCCGCCACCACCTTGTGCGGTACTACTGGTAATGAATAGCGACCGCCAGAAAAATAGAAGCTAGCAAATTCCAACTAGAATAGTGATATACTTTTCTATTTTTTTGGGGTGATATTTCTCCATACATAATAGACATACGACTGATTTGCAGCACACTTTACCTGTACATAATTACAATTACACTTGATATAACTAGAATATCTCTATATATATATACATAAACTAATATGACTACAACTGATACCCTGGGGTAAACTGACATGGATGTGGAAAACCCGTATGCTTTCCTTAGGAAAACCATCTACACATAGTGATTCGGGCTGCCCGGTGTCGGAGGGTTGAGCATTTCGTGATAGCCCGTCGAGGCCAGTTCATTGAATTTCCAGGGAAATGCCATGCCCACGGTGCTTGTATCTAAGATGTAGAGATATGCCAAGGCATGAACCATCCTCGGGAAACGGGAAAACTGGGCCGCTTGGCTACCTGGAAATGCTGTGTTTTTTTTTGATTTACCATGGATTTTCTGATATTTTTGTTCCATTTTATGGCAAACACATGTATTTTACCAGTAAAAAAAATAACCAGCAAGAATGGTTTATATATATATACATATTTATTAGATACAATCATATATATATATATAAATATGATGATATACAAGGGTAATGTTGGGAATATCATTTATCATTTGAATATTTATAATTATAATGATATATGTGCCAAACCTAGGACTTTGGAAGAATGGAGGCATGATGGGTATATGCTGGGGATTAATTTGGATTTAAGGGGAATGCAATATCCAATACAGTGGATCGAATACTGCTTGGGTGGGAAGTCAATGGGGGTTTGGCACAAAAAAACGTATGTGATTGACCCAACTGGCAAGAAAAAACCGAGAGAAACATGAGTTCATCCCCCAAAAAATGCAGTTCATCCCCCCAAAAAATGTCCCATTCATTGGCCATGGAAAAATCTGCCAGTGACATGCCGTCTGCCATCGGTGGGATGGCACATGTTGAGGGATAGCTAGCCAGGCGATTGACCTCCGATCCGAGGTTTTCACCTCATTTTTGTGGGATATACCAACTTAAACTATGACCATATCCCGATTATTATAATAATTAGACCCTCAAAAATTGTCAACGAAGCAGGGCAAAAAAGCAAGACCTATGTGATTGTCATGGGCGGATGCGTGTCCAGCTATCCTCCATCTCATTCCTGATATTCCTTGCCCGAGACACGGATGGTTCCGATAGTGGTACAGCATTGACAGACCAGTGAGGTCAAAATTCATGAATTTCGTCTCAATGTATGTGACCTCCTGCGAAATCGCACCAAGAAGTGGCGGAGTTTTTAGGGTGTGGACCCAGGTGGGAAACGGTTTCCACCTGAACCAAAACATCACCCATGAATCTAACCATCTAATGGTATTGCATACGGTTACTACCCTCAAAAACATGATGAACCCGCGTGATTTTTTTGAGTGCATTATTCGAAGTTCAAACATGTTTAGCATGGATTCTGCCGCAAAACGCGCATTTCTGGAGGTAAATCTACCTGGAGGCATCCGTCAGGATTTATATCCTCTGGCAGTTTATAGCTATGGAACGTTAATTACAATCTTTGAGTTCGGTAAATCATGGAACAAACTATAGGCCATGCTTTCCAAATCTCAAACTGTTTACCTTCTGACTAGTGGGTACCTCAAAACACCATCGCAGTGTTCTAACCCCTGTGTCATCCAACTAATCCAATCATACTGGTTGATAGGGATTCCCCTAATGGATGAATCCAACTAATCCAATGTATTGGGTATATCATAACCAATCAACAGCATCAATGGCTCATCTGGTCCACCGATTCGACAAGGATTCCCCCGGCGAAGGTGTCAGGGGCGAGCCCCTCCTTTTCTTGATAGACCTTTTCCTTGGCACCAAGCCCAGCCCAGTGGTTTTCGGCTGAGATACCCAAGATATGTAAGGCAGCTGTGTATCACTGAATATAAGGTAAAAACCTACAGGAACCCATGGTTTTTACCACCCACATATGGGGGTTACTGATGGTTCGTGTGATTTTCCCCTCAAACCAATTCTGGGAGTGCAAGGCGTATGTAAGGGAATATCCCCTCAACAAACATTGCCTCACTGTACATGTTTCTTCAGTATGTATATATTATATATATTATATAATACGAAGGCAACATCTGTTTCACTTGCTGTGTTGAAGCAGACCCATCTGTGTCAGAGCAGCTCGAACAGCATTGGCCATGGACATGAATGGCATCAGTGATTTCATGCGACGGAACCCACGAGAAAATGGTGATCAAACCCTGGCGCCCTTCGGGCGAACATGAGAATAAGCTGGTAAATGGATGTTCAGTCCCCTTCAATTGTGGTAGAATCGTTTTTGATCCGTTGCCATATCGTAAAACATGAAATACATTAAAATACTGTAACCTCCAGCAAACATATAGCTGGCTCAAACAAATCCCATCCCTAACTGCGAGAATCATCTCAAACATCATGGGGATTTTAACATCAACATCATGACATTTTAACATTTTTAACCTCAACATCATGACAGACCTCTGAAAATCGATCGGCAAAACAGGCGAGGCGCTCGATCGGAACCGCCGATGATCACCAGAACCTCCGTCCAATTTCTGAACTGCGCCGCTGTCATGGAGCGAAAGAGCATCTCCAATGGCTTCCTGATGCCATAGAAAGTCGGCACAAATTCAAAAAGGGAGCTTGTTGTAAAACGTCACTGAAAAAACACTAGACATTTCAAGCAGAAATTGTTTCGGACGTTTTATTTTGAATTGATGAATTGTTCTTGGAACAAACACAGCAAAATCTCCATCCAGGAATCCATTCCAAGACAATCCAATCCATCCATGAAAAATCTATCGATCTAGACAAGAACACCTATTTACACTCATTTGAGCAGTGTTCAAAATCCCTCTATCATTCCATTATACTGCTTGGTTTATAGGGATTCCCCCTTCTCGGATATGATAATCCCCAGTATATTGGGTAGTATAATCCCCGAAGTAATCATCAACCCTGCCAGGGGTTTAGCAGCCACTGCTCATTTGACATACACATATCATTGACCTTAATTTCCAGTCAAAGGTTGCTGTGAAAATGGTGGGTTCCCCGGTTCCCCGGTTCAAAACATGTCCATCCAGCATTTTCAGGTGGGTGCTGGAAGGTCAATTCGTCCCTGGATTTGGAGGCCAAGAAGCAGGTTTAGCCACGCTGGTTGGTGGTTGACCTACCCCTCTGAAAAATATGAGTTCGTCAATGGGAAGGATGACATCCCATATATGAAATGGAAAAAAATGTTTGAAACCACCAACCAGTTAGAGAAAACACCCCTTTCTGTGCAAAGCATCTGGTAGAGTTTGTTGGAATTGATGACCAGTTTCAGATCAGGCCACTGTTCCAACTCCTCCACTCGCACAGATGAAACGAGTACAGCAGATATGAATATGTAGCAAACGTAGCATCCCCATCTGCGGGAAGTTCTCACCATTCCCCTCCGCTCGCCACTCCCAGTTCACCCAACGTTCGCTGGGAGGGTGCAGCACTGGACAGGCGCAGCGCGTGTTGCGCTGCTAAAAATGCAGACCTGGACTTAGAACAACTTGAGCCGCTGGCTGCGAAGAGCAGAATTTTGTCCAACAAAAACCCTCCAAGTAGGGCCGTGTGAAAAAACGGGTTGTTTTTCAGATGTTCACCTGTGAAAAAACATGTTGTGATCAGAACAATGTGTTCAGGGGAGATCTCCAACAGTTTCAGCAGGAAATCTCCAGTTCGAGATCCTGAATACTGCGGATGTCACTGTCACTGATGGCCGCGGCGTCAACCTAAACACGAGTGGAACAAGTTGTTTGGAACATCTAAATACTCATTGAAGCAATGTCAAAGGAATGTCTTCTAACAAAATGCCAGATACCAGTCTGGACACCCCACATACATGACATATATAATTAGCAACACAGACACCTGTATACATATACCTGGAGCTTCTTAATACTGGAATGTTTAACTCCAAACTCAAAAAAGATCGATTTTGGGTGGTTAAAGTGGAAAAAAGAACACCAGAGTCGTTTTTGCCGTTCGGGACACTTCCGACGTTCTGGAGTGGAAAAAAGCGTTCCAACAGCGTGAATAAAGCGTTCGGAACCGTTCTGAAATGAAAAAAACGTTCTTGAGTGGAAATAACCGTTCAGGAGTTCTTTTTCTCTTGAATTTTGCAAAATTGATCGATATTGGCTGTGGTGTGGAAATTTCCACGTCACGATCAAGAGGATCCAGGTATATATATATATAATATGTAGATATGAATTATATACGTCTATGTATATGGCTTATGGCAGTTACATGTGTGTATATATATATAAACGATTGTATACACAGGTATGTATAATCATATATAATAACGATGTAATAATGATAATAATGATGATAATACTGTATATGTAAAATGCTATATATATATGTATACCGTATACATACATAAATATATATCCCTCACAACCACAAAGACTCCAGGTGAAGTAAGCTCCAGGCTTTCGTTTGCAGACTTCGCCATGGAGCAAACTCCGTCATCGCAGTAAACTGCCTGGCGAATTCCGACGGGTCCCAGACCTTCCCTGAAGCCATGAAGGATACCGTTCCCTGATGATAAATCAGGAGATATAGAGGTTTCCTAAGTCATAGGGGTACTCCCAAATCATCCATTTCTAGATGGGATTTTCCATTATACCCATCCAGCTATTGGGGTACTCCCATTTTCGGAAACCCCTATATAAAGGTAACCAAGTATGAGACATACCGGATAGGAAAGGCATCTCTCCACATGGTGGCTTTGAAAGCTCCAGAAGGTCAATAACAAACAATGGGGATGCAAGCCGCGCCCAAAGTTTCCTTGTCAATGTGAATGGAACCACGGGGCCATACGGACACCCAATCACCAACAAATACCACCGAATCTTGGTAGAACAAAGAACACCAGTGCTGAGTAGTAGACATGGCTGGTATTTCTGGATGTTCATTCTACCCAAATATAGTACAATACCAGGTTTTGACTCATCCCCTATGTGCCATGGTCAAAAGATGGTATACGGTATACGTTTTATGGTTATCCCATCATCATTAGAGATTCGTTAGTGGTTTTGTTTGAATCCCTATCAATGGATTGATTATTCCATCCCCCAATCTGGGTGAATCTAATCCAACTTTTGATTATAGTTTAGTTGGTTCTATATCCCGTGAAATATGTCCATCCCCAAAAAAACATACCTTTCATCTGGGTAAATTATAATATTTCACTGACCTGAAATAAGGTCATTTGGGGATAGTCACCCCTACTAGCCATCATTCCCAGTGAGGTCGCAGTGAGGTCGTTATAATTTGCCCAGTTTCATGGAACATCAACTAACTTGAGCATAGCGCCAAAGTTCAGGCCTTGCATTGGGCATTTTGACTGCAACGATACTTGGCCTGGCAGCTGTTCAACGGCCCCCAAGTCAGATGGGAAGAATGTCAGCCCCGGATTAATAAACCATGCTTTATTAATTAGGGGGGTATTCCCCCAACAGTCATGATTTGATACTTTTTTTGGTAGCTTCCCAATTAAACGGCCGTAAACGGGGTTTATTAATCCAGGGTTGACATTATAAACCAACAAAGTGGGGGGCCTGTAGTTGGGCCTTTTTGGTTTGCAGGAATTCTCTCCATGGTTTGCTGGGAAAATCCCCGGTTCAATGATTCTTCCAGCAACCTGCATGGCCGGATTTCCCAGCCCGTGCCTGATGAACTGTCTGAATGGCGGGAATCATACTGTGTCCCTGATGGGGAAGCATAAGAAAGCGTGCAACATTCTAAATGTATCCATATGCAATCTGTCCATATGCAATCTGTATGCATATGCATATGCACATTTGTATGCATGTATGCCTGTACGCATGTATGCATGTTCATGTGCTTGTACATATATGTATATATCTACACATCCGAATCAATAACATATATATATACATATATATACATATGTATATATATATAATATATGGCCATATATGTATTTGGATACGCGTAAATACACACACATAATCAACACATATGATAATAGATCACATACTGTACGATATGCACGAGATGATCGCCCCATTGGAACCTCTGCAACTGAGCTCCACGAACATGTCCTGACGCGGCGCTTGTGGATTGGACAAAAAACCAACGCGGGAAACGATACGAAGAAATGGGGAATTTAGTATTGATGGATAATAATAATAATGGGACAATCATGGGATCTTAATTTGATACGAATAGAATAATATTGGAGACTATTATCATAGCAGCATGTTAATTGGATATGAATGGATTTAACCTCTTGTAATCAAACATGGCTTGCTGGAAAATCATCATTGATACTTGAGTTTCCCACTCAAATCATGTAACACATTCATTTATAGGGGATTTCAATTGCCATGTTTGATTACAGGAGGGTAACCATTATCTATGAGACTTTTAAACATCCAACATAAGGGAATATCTTTTAACATGATGGTTGATGGATGGTTGCTATTGAAAATGGCCCATTTAGTTCGTTGATTTCCCTATTAACAATGGTGATTTTCCATAGTTATGTTAGTTTACCAGAGGTTAAACCTCCATGAATTACCATTAGATCCGGTTAAACCACCATGAAATCCCATTAAATCACCATGAAATCACCATGAAATCCCATGAAATCCCATGAAATCACCATGAAATCACCATAAAATCAGAGGCTACTGGTAGCCATGGGTGAAACCCATTAAACCACCGTTAATCACCAGAGGATACTCTCCCGTGAAGCCGAGGATCGAGGTGCCAATCCACTCCGCGCAGTTGTCGAAGCCGGTGACTTCAGAGACTTTCAGCAGCATATTGGAGGTGAGGATCGTACGGTCCTGAAAAAACATCGTGAAAACCTATGGTTGATGGTCATATCTGGGGATATTTCACACACACACATATATATAGAGATTATCTATAAATAAATATGTATGTATGTATGTATGTCTGTATGTATGTATGCATGTATGTATGCATGCATGCATGTATGTATGTGTGTATGTATGTATGTATGCATGTATGCATGCATGGATGCATGCATGCATGCATGCATGTATTGTAATGTATGGTAATGTATGTATGTAATGTGTGTATGCAATGTATGTATGTAATGTATGTGCGTATTATGTAATGTATGTATGTAATGTATGTATGTAATGTATGTATGTGTGTATGTAATGTATGTATGTAATGTATGTGTGTAATGTATGTATGTAATGTATGTAAGGATGTAACGTATGTAAGGATGTAACGTATGTAAGGAAGTAATGTATGTAAGGAAGTACTGTATGTAAGGAAGTAGTGTATGTAAGGAAGTAATTATGTAAGGAAGTAATGTATGTAAGGAAGTAATGTATGTAAGGAAGTACTGTATGTAACGAAGTAATGTATGTATGGAAGTAATGTATGTAAGGAAGTACTCTATGTATGGAAGTACTGTATGTATGGAAGTACTGTATGAATGGAAGTCATGTATGTATGTATGTATGAATGTATGTATGTATGTATGCATGCATGCATGTGTGTATGTATGTATGAAAGTATGTATGAGAGTATGTATGAAAGTATGCTTGAAAGTATGTATGTATGTATCTATCTATCCATCCATCTATGTATGTATCTATGTAGCTATGTATGCATGCATGCATGGATGGATTGATGTATGTATGTATGTGACATATAAGATCTTGGGACAAATGTATCATATGATCTCAGCTGATAGGCTGATAATCTACCGGTAATACATATATATATATATAGGGACATACAATGATATACATATATGTGGGAATATAAGATCTTGGACATCATATGCTGGCAAACTGGGGATAACACTTGGTAGATAACTTGGAATATTGGTGTACAACTTCGAACAAACAGCATATCTAGACATTGAAATCCGTCCTTTGCCGTTGAGTCAAGATCTTTTGTACTGATAATCAAAAATCTTAAAATAGATGCAGTCCAAATCATTTCCAAAAGGTGCATCACTTCCATATGGGGCTTCCTAATAGTAGGGGCCCAAAATCATCCAAGTCATGGACGACCATGCCTTAGTGTTACCTATGTGACGACTGGGGATCCCCCATAATGAAAGCTCCAAAAAAACTCTCGAATCACCCGACTGGTGAAGCGGCACTTCGGGAGGGGCCTCACATCCACTGCGCTGTTCAGCTGTTCATCAAGAAATGACGAGCGAATGGTGCCGGAAAGTGAACAAATCTTGGTGTAAACCGGACACATTTTTAAGCGACTCATTGGTGAATTGAATCATTTAGGGAGGTTCCAAAAATATCGGTTTCCGACCTCCAAATCATCCATAGATGGATTTTCCACAAGCATCCAGCGTTTTTGGGGTACTCCGATTCCCAAAGCTTTTCCCATTTTTCTCCTGGCGGAGAAAATCAAATCTTCCACCAAATAGTTGTAACAAAAACAAAAAACTAAGGTGGCTGGATTACCCCAGCTATATATGTATAATATGATATAATATATTTACTAAATAATATTCAAATCTAATATATATATATATATACATATCTACACTGTTATAATAAATATGTATATAATGTGGTCAACCCAATAATAAGCCCGAATAAACCATTCCCAAACTCACTGTTTTTATGGGTGGTTCATTTTTGGGTTTGCCAACGTTATATCTATAATTTTCCCACATATGTCAATATCCCAACCGGAACCAAACCCGTCTATATACATTGCCACATCCCACATGCCAAGCGTCCACTGGATCATCAAAGGCACAGTATGCCTCGCATCGAGGTCTGCTTCCATGTCAACTGCTGATAGCCTCTGGTAATGACTAACATAGCTATGGAAAATCACCATTTTTAATGGGAAAATCCACTATAAATGGTCATTTTCAATAGCTATGTTAGTTTACCAGAGGGTAAGTTGTCTTGTGCTTCAGGACGAGCTTGAAAAAATAACAATGACATTATCTCCAAGTTCTTCAGAGTGTACGTTTTCATTGACCCAAAAATGCAGGTGACAAATTGGGAAGGGATGCGGCCTCATGAAACCCGATCAGATCAACAATGTCGTGCCAGCGCTATAAGTCTGTTTGTAATTCCATTGACTAGTTCGATATATACACCATAAGTCCGCTGAAATTCGAGGTATCACATGGTATCACCAACTTAGCTATCATAAATCAACTATAAATCCCCTTCTGGTTGGTGGTTTTAACCCCCTTGAAAAATATGAAAGTCAATGGGAAGGATGACATCCCATATATTATGGAAAAATGTTTGAAACCACCAACCAGATTGGGTTTATTAATCACTATCAACCACTATTAACCACTCTTAACCACTATCAACCACTATTAACCAGCATTAAATCCCCAATTTTTGTGGGTCAAATTGACATTTTCCGATGCTTTTCGCTGAGGCTTGAACTGGGATCTCCAAGTTGAGCGTCACAGTGCTCTCACTGGCGATGGTGAAGAAGTGGGACGAAGCAATGGGTTCTGAAAATGGGCTATACCCTATTTATCCCTATTTAATGGTTAATTAATGGTTGTATGGTTATATGTAAAAATCCATGAAATCTCTAGAAATGGAGGTGATCATGGGAATTTCATCTGCAAATGATGGATATACCCTCTGGTAATTTAACAGTTTGCTATTGAAAATGGCCATTGAATAGTTGATTTACCAACAACAGGTTGCTTTTCCATAGCAAACTGTAGTTTACCAGAGGGTAAATGGCAAATCTCAATGGGAAAGAGATGGAAAAAGGCTGATATACTAATGGATTTGGGGGTAGCCTATATTCACAGAAAATCTTAAATGGAGCACCAATGGATCCACAGTAAATTTCTCCGTACTTCAGTACTTCCTCAGTACCAAAACCATCCCAAAATGGGTCTATCACTGGATTGGTTTAAGGGAAAATCTACAGGAAACCATGGTTTTTACCATCAAATATAGGGCTTTCCTGTAAATTTTCCCATCATCCAATTCTATGGGTCTAAATCATGTATTTTTTCGTTTCGAGCCTATAGCTGAAATGAAACTTCGATTGAGCCACCAAAGAAATCGATGTGAACCATTGTGAATCTCCAAGTAGGCCAGCTACATCCATGACTTTTTGAAGTACCCTCTGGTAAACTAACATAACTATGGAAAATTACCATCTTTATATAATGGGTAAATCAACTATCAATGGCCATTTTCAATAGCTATGTTAAATTACCAGAGGGTAACAACTCTCAATTACGCGAGTTAGGGGATCAGTTGAAGCTTCACCAAGATTTTCATCCAATTTCGATTTCTACCACGATGATACCCATCATTCCCCGATGCCAACAGAATCCTACCATTTTTGTCAGGGGTGATAAGGGATCCATAGTCGGAGGTCCCCGAGTTTGATTGTGTCCACATCGGTGGTGCCGAATTCGAAGTAACCCCAAACTTCCGCTGCTTTTCTCCCAACACAGCGACCATTCGGTTCATTTTGAGAACGTTCACCTATGGATCAAAACGTGGTCAATCTTTGGCAGTCCAGAATTTTTAAAATCATATTTTGCTGTTCATGGTTATTTTCCATTTGTATTTATAGCAACAAAAGCTGTAACAAGAGGATTAAACCACTATGTATATTCTAATCATATTCGCATTATATTCCCATTAAACCACTATGATACCAATTATTCCATATTATTCCATTATTACGGGGAATATACCCATATGGCATTATTTATTATTATATTCGGGGAATATTCCACTATATTAAAATTATATATGGGGGAATAATATGGGTATATTTTCCAATATATCATAACCACAGTGGATTATCATTACGATTATGATACCCATTGGCATATGGATTAAACCACTATGGTAATGGTATTATTCCATATTTCAATATTGTTCTAGTGGTTTAATACCTAATATGGAATATAATATGATACCACTTAATATGGAACATTCTCCACTATGTTACCACTTAATATGATATTTCCTAATATGAAGTTATTATTCCCCCATATGCCAATATCCTAACCCATACCAAGACGGCGCATCTAGGCTCCTTTGACAAATGCCACGAGGTAGCCATGGCATGGGCGAAGTCATTCCGTCCTTGGGCAAAGCAGTGCTGAGGTATGGCTCAAAAAAGGCATACTAGAAACGGACATAACATGGGAACCGCAACCTATTCATGGTACATTAATAATCATACATCTATGTTCATACATAATAGTTGACATAATATATATATATATATATTAGCATACACATACATGTATGTATATATATATGTGTGGTATTAAAACTATCTAGATATCATCTATCAATCTAGACTATATATGCATCGTCTTTTTGGTCCGCGTCTTTATGTGTTTTCTCAAGAGTCTCGATTCATCCAATTTTCACTTAAATATACTGAAGTCTTTTATCATCTTGACCCCTAGCAAGGGGTAGACTTGAATTATGAACCTCCTTCTTTTGCTGGAAAACAATGCATGTATATATAGGTATACAACGAAATCGAATTGCAATGCAATGAAATAATGCTAGGTAACGTAACGTAAGGCAAGGTAAGGAAACGCAATGCAAGTCTGAATATATATGTGTATATATATAATGTGTATTAAAGAAGTATATAATTACCAATGTTATCCATTTCCAAGTGCGCCGGAATGTGTTCAGTATATGTATCATGGGTCAATGTTGGTAACTTGGACTGATTCTGGCAGACCATCTTTGGCTCATGCTGAGATGGTGCTGGATATGATGTAACCTAGTTTTCTCTCATTGTTTTTGTTGATGTTTTTTTTTACTGATGCTTTTTTGCAGGAAACCATGGTTTTTGGCCCTTAAGATTGTAGTTTTTCTGTAAATTTTATCTTGGAAGGCTCTATTTTGGAGTGTAATTCATTCTACCCTGGAGCTTCTATCACTTCTTAATACCAAACATCTTGCAGGAAGTCCAATGAAAAGAGCTCGACCTGGTCGTGTTCAAGAATATGAGTTTCTCTGAAAATCGATGGTTTAATGTCACCTTCCTCGTTAAAAATGGCACTTCTTCGGGCTATACCAAATTTTCAGTCAACGCCATATCACTTAGTAACCCCAATTCCAACATTCCGGCTGCTGTTTTTCAGTCATATCAACACCAGACTTTCAGAACTTCTCTCCATCATCACCTTTCCAGCCTTCGGAAACGGGCGCCCTGACATTTAATCCGATGTGGAAGTAGTTTTGACATCCTGCGGATTCAACCTGAAGCGATCGAGCTGAAATCAGCTGCAGATTTTGTGACCCATGACGTGTTTTTTTTTAAAACCGGATTGAGAACTGGGGATATTACACATATAGAGCTGGAGCATAATGAGCATAATATGGTTTTGAAAACAATGAAACCAACTGGGAAGAGTTCACCAGCTGGCATTTTTTGCTGAACACGGCCCAAGTTGCAAGTCCTCTGGGTACCCAGTGATGATTCCTCTTGGGGAGTTCTGGGATTAAAACCACCCGGATATCCTAAGGTCCTAAGCACTGAATCGTCAACTGAGAGAGCAAAGAATAGCCGAGCTCGTCAGTGGCGCTTTTTTTAAATCGACTCAATGTTTTCTCATTCGGGCTTTGTATTCAACTCAACAAAAGAAAATATGGCACCCCCAAATCCACGGGTTAATGATCATTTACCTTGTCAAAATAGCCATCTAGGTGGGTGAACCCCAGATTGACAGACCCAAATGGGGCTATAACTGGGTGTACAATCTTCACATTACAGGACAAAATCAAAAAAACATGGAACATGGAACATGTGTGACTCTTTTAGTTGGGTTTTTTTTGTCTATCGGGGGTTACTACACCAAAATACCAGCCCCCAAGAAACCGGTTGTCCAATAGATCTTCCCAAGTCGCTGTATAGTTGAGGCCGTCTTCCCCGAGCATCACAGCCTGGAGAACGCTTCGAAGCCCTTGCTTTTCACGTGAAGAAAGATCAAAGGGCTGGTAGTTGATGATAATTCCATTTACGTTTTTCTTATTATTTTATTGATCTAAATCTAAGTGGAAAATGACCATTTATAGATGATTTTACCTAATAAAAAGTGGTTGAATTACCAGAGGCTAGTTGATGGTAGTTGTGGATGTTCCTCCTCTCATTTTTTCCAATATGACTTGGACACGGCTTAGGTACTGCTTTCAATCAAGGCCCTTTCAACAAAGAATCGGATGATGCGGGGGAAAATCCGGAAAAACACCAGGGAATTGGGGGTATCCCCCATCCACTGCGTCAGAATGCGTCCAAAGTTTAACGAGCTTCTATCACCAAATCTGGATCATTTTATTGGATGTTTTATGGTTTAGTTGAATGATACTATTTAGTAGTGTCCACCCCAGATTCATAAACCCTGGTTGACTAGGGCAATTACCCTAAATATTCATACTTTGCTACTAAAAACGGTACCCCCGAACTCAACAGCCAAGGATTTTCACAAAATCCAGGGATCACATTGACGAAACATGACCAGCTGGGGGCTAATTGCTACAACCCCGACCTGATCGACCAACGCCCTAGCGCGCGCACCTCGTCTGCGCAGTAGTTGCGAACTTCCGCCCCATTGGTTTCCAGCTCGTCTGCATATGCCTTGCTGTTTGCAAGAAGGTTTCAGGGTTCTGATCTTATGACCTCATGTGCTACCTTTCAAACGATTCCGCAGACAGCAGAGAATTTGAAAGTGAGAGCTTGTAATCTAGATCACCCTTCCGCACATACATGTTGGTATGCTCTATGTCACCCAGATCGTGTTCTTGATCTATATGACATCTACAGAATGGGGTCATAGGGCCTGGGCAATTTTGGGGGACCTTCAAATAATTAGAGAAACGCTCCCCGCTCCCGCTTCCGCCTGTGGATTCCCAGACGCACCGGCACAATCCGGATCATACCGAGCACAGCCACAGTCGCATACACCTCGTGTGTAGCTGGGATCCATCCTTGCTATTGGGTACCCTCTGGTAAACTCACTAATTGTGCTGCGAAAAATCACCACGTTAATAGCAACATCAACGAACTAAATGGGCGACTTTCAATAGCTATGTTAAATTACCAGAGGGTATCTGAAAATGGGGATTGACCCTCCTTTATGGCGATTTTCATGGGGAAACTGATGAGAATACGACATCAGAGGTACCCTATGGGCCCACTTAACTTGGATTTAAAACTGACACATATAACAAATAGCTTCCTGAAATGATGGATTAAGTGCTGGAAAAATAAACCACCACCACCTTCATCTAAGTTGATGGGTGTCTTCCTATTTCTGATGGCTAAATAACAAACAAAAATACTGGTTGTAGCCACATTTTTCTTGCTGAAATCCCCATCTCTTCCACATTGGATAGGTAACTTCCAATTTCTGGTGGTTAAATCTCCGTGTTTGTGAAATATCTCCATTTTGCTTGGTCAAAATCACCATCTTTGACGCTAAAACCGCCGCTTTTTTTCTCCCTGATCCTCTGGGGGCCCCAACCATCTCCAAAGTTGGAGCTAGTGGCAGCTGCGTCGTTAGGACACTCCCAGATCTGCGCACGGTCAATATACTGTTAATAATGGTTAATATATGGTTATTACATTATATGGCTAATGATTGTTAAATATAAATATATATATATATGTATCTGGTTGGTGGTATAGCTACCCCTCTGAAAAATATGAGTTCGTCAAATGGGATTATTGTTCCCAACTGAATGGACAGTCATAAAATTTCATGGTTCCAAACCACCAAGCAGTTTAGTTCAATGATTTTCTCAACATCATTCCTATCCATTCAAAGCTTCAAGTGTATATATTCAACCAGCAGAACTGGTGATTCAACCAGTCATCTGTTTTTGATTGGCCGCCTCAGGGTGAATTTTAAGAATACATTCCTAATATAGGATTCATGGTAGATATATCATACTATATATATATATATACATACCGTAATGTGTATATTTTTTGCTTCTAGGCTCCAAGATGCTTGCGCAGCGGCCTACTGCAGATGAATTCAATGTACATGTCGTCAACCCGCATATATATATAATATATGTGTTAATACACATATATATATAGTTAAGGCAGGCTGCAGGCTACCAACTTACGTCCTAGTAATCAAATATTGTTAAACATGGCGATTGTTTTTATGCAGCATTTAGTTGGATGATTTCCCAGCAAACCATAGGGTAGAAACAATTTTCTCATCCACATTTTCATCCCAATTTCTCATCACCTCCATGTAATGATATTTCATATTACCCGGCCTGGTAATCATGACCAGCTTTTTTTAAATCCCCACGGACCGTTTGGGGATTTCCCGGCCTCCCCATGAAACCACCAAAATCCACGGGTGGCTGCCCCACACCTCTGGAAGCCAGCGAAGGGAGCCTTTGGTTTGGATTCTGGCCGTCATGTTTGCAGCAACTCCTGCATAGGCCTGGGGTGAAACTGCGCGAAAACGCGAAGATGCGCGAAACTTCAGTCACTGTACTAGCGAGAGGTATAATTATACACATATATATATGTATGTATATATATATATGTATTATGTATTATGTATTATGTTTTATGTATTATGTATATGTAAATGTATGTGCAAATATCTCTAAATCTGTATCTGTACATATCTAGTTGAGAAACAGATTCTTGAACAAACACAGAGGTCCTCCTCGGAATCACCTCACCCTTAACTTCAATAGTGTATACCACCAAAAAATGCTTTTACCATCTGGTCATTTAACGGTTAGCCATGGAAAATCACCATTTTTAATAGGTAAACCTCTGTTTCTATGGGCCATCTATACCATGGCTATGTGAAATGGCCAGAGGGTATATGGTACAGTACCTGCATTTTTGACAATTGGCTACACCTTTAATGATTTTAATGGAAAGGTTAATACGGTTAAGACATGTTAAGACTAATACTAAACACTACTAAACATCACCCAATTCCCTGCTCCCTTCGGCAGTACCAAATGACAGGCCAGGCTGACACAAGTATAGCTTCTGAGGGTGTCGTTGTCCGTGGAACAGTCTTCTTCAGAGCACCTAGCCGCTGGCCAAAATCAAGTAGGAAACTGGGGAAAAGGCGATAAAAATATCGAAACATTGATACTATCAGCGTAAAAAAACTGGGATACGGAAACTGGTGATGTTTGAGAGTATTTGTAAACTCGTGTCTTCATCACCTTTCAATCCATGTCTGTTCCTTTGGCATTCAGTGGTAAATTCTCCAAAGCCAAATCAGGGTTGAGCTCATGTTCCACTAATCACTAAAGACCCATTCGCTTGTATTTCTTTAGTGCAACGAATTGCCAACAAAGAGTTCAAGTCAGCCCGTTTGAAAACTCCGGCAATAGCACGCAGCTAAGGGAGAGACATTGCTTTTCAGTCATTGTACAAACATGAGGTCAGTGGTGGGACCTTCCCGAATAGCGTTATCCCCTTTGAAGTTTATGTCATACGTGTACACATACATCATTTACATTATTTTTTTAAAAAACAATATATATATATATACTCCAAACTTGCCATACATCAATTTTGTACAAGCGTAGACGGCGTATGGTAAGCGATGGGACCTTCACAAATTTGTTGATGTTCTTTTCGCAAGCCTGGAGTTGATTAGATTGCTCAAGTGCGTCTGTCTGAAAATTGAATACCCCCAAATCCCGCGGCTTATCTCTGAGTTTGAAACACACCCATACATCATATCGTTGCTGATGTTATCTCCAATAGATTCCTAGCCATGATATGCCCATGATATTCCGATTGTATCCCCATTCTATTCCCATTAAACCACTATGATACCCACTATTCCTCCATATGCCACTTGCTATCCCCTATATCCCCATGATATCCTTCATTATCCCTATTGTTATCCCTATGCTATCCCCATGATTTCTCCAACTTTGGGAAGGTCTGAAAGCACACGTACCCCCGAGGAAGCGAACCCAGGCATGCAGCGACACGTATCTTTGCAGGAACAGGCATCCTCAAGCGGCAACCAGCTGGGGATGGGTCATTTGACGGGAAACCCAAGCGCGGTACCCGTTTAGTCATAGCTGGTTTATGGATGGTTGTTTCCCCAATATGGCAATAATAGGGTTTGACCCATATATATATATATGTGTATATATGAACTATCTATCTACGTATCTATCCATCCATCAATCCATCCAATCATTTCTATCATTTCTATCTTTCTATCTTTCCATCTTTCTATCTTTCTATCTCTCTCTTTTTCTCTTTGTCTCTCTCTATCTCTCTATCTCTCTCTATGTCTCAATCTCTCTATCTCTCTATCTCTACCTGTCTGTATCTATGTCTTTCTATTTCTATCCACATCTATATCTATATCTATATATCCACATATCTATATATATATATATCTACCCACACCTCTATGTATACATATTTAACGTGTATATATATATGTCTATGTCTATACCTATTTCTATATTTTTTCTATCTCTATCTATATCTACCTATATCTGTATCTAATTCTCTCTCTCTCTACTATATATACAGAGAATCACACAAATCATCATACAAACACATGCAATCATATAGCGATAAACAACTATATATATATACAATCATGTTTTTTTCCCGCATGTGATCAAACATCTATAGTCACAGTTTATCTATGTAAAATTTCCGGGGCAATGCCATAACAATGATTGACCGATGGAGTGGGATTCGGCAATCTGGTGCTGTTTAGTTGGGGTTTCCTAGAGTGCACGTACCCCAAAATGCTTATAATGGAAAACCCTGTCAAAAAAGGATGTTTTTTTTTGGTATATTGAATTTAGGAGACCTCTTGTATCTGCAATTGTAATGTGTTCATATCCCAATTGGACAACCGCCAGAAATATGGCCACCATATTTCCGAATCATGGTTGATTTATACATTTCCATTAGATACCCTGCAAAAAAATAATTTCTTTGCTGGTTAGTAGATATTCCCAAAAGACTAAAGGATTAAAGTATCCATCTAAGATTGACCTAGTATAGGGGTAATGCCCCGCAACAGGGTTCATGAAAATAGTTCAAATATGTTCAAATTGGATGATGATCATCTCCGGCATATGAAGGGACGGTTAAGAACCTCAATAGATTCAATAGATGGATCGAAGCACAGCTTTTTTTTGGCTTCAGCCACATCTCCACCATCTCCAGCTGTTCCCCAGTCCGTGGCTGTCATGGAATCGTTCACCAACCAACAGTTGTCAGGGTCCTGGAGAGACGGCGGCTTCAACTTGGGACTTGAGAGCCTCTGAAAAAGTCCCGCTTGGTGGTTGGGGGAAACCCATGAAAGTTGGGGGAAAACCATCTAGTGGTTGGTGGTTGACCTACCATTGGTTGGTAATATACTGTTAATATACTGTTAATGATGATGGTTATTATATGGTTAATGATGGTTATTAATAATCTGGTTGGTGGTTGACCTACCCCTCTGAAAAATCATGGAGTTCGTCAGTTGGGATGATGACATTCCCAATATATGGAAAGTCATAAAATTCATGTTCCAAACCACCAGCCAGAAAAAGAGTGAACTAGTGATTTATCAAGATTGGTGAAAATTTTCTTCTGCCCTCTCTTTTCTGGTTCAAGATTCAACTATAGCGTTCAAAAGTTCAACTACAGCTACCCCCGCGCTGCAAAACAAGCCCAAATAGAGTGTAGCAGAATCGTTTCCAAATCGTTTCCATGCGCCAAAAATTGCAGTTCTCTCATGATCTTCGACAAACAAGGGCACAGGGATGGATCTGAACAAAAAAGGACAAATCCAGAGGTGAATCATCACTGTTTACCCAGCCGAATAAAAAAAGCTGTGAAGAAATATACATCATTTCTGAGGATATTAAAATGTGACTAACATGATATTAATATATTGATTGTATATTGAACATAATTGATATATCCTATTGATTATATAGGGTCACTACATGAACATGATTGAACATATTGAAAAAAAAGCCTCCCGTTCGGATCCGTTCGGAAGATCATAAGTCCATGGCATTTCTGGTGGCTTTTCCACATCTGAGTCACAACTTACTGGACTGTATGGATTTGCTTAAGGACCCCCCCCTCCGAGAAATTTTCAACAGATTCCCTTCCCCCTCTTCCCCAAGTCGTCCAAGTCGTCGATGCCCGGCAAACAAAAATCATCAGCTCAGGTATATCATGGGATTATCATGGTATGGCGATGTTTCCTCTTAACATCGCGTTGAAAACGCGCTAAATCCACCATTTTCACCGAAGGCATCTTTTTTTTTCGAAGGCCCGTCTGGGGATCAAACGTCAGGCCACCATACAGGCGCTTGGTATTTCCAAGCGGCTACAACCTGTACCGAGGCTGGTGCCGGGGGTGGCAAAGTTGCTTCAGGACCATATGAAGTACACCAGTCGTGGGTTTACGGATGATACCCACTGAATTTACAGTTAATGGGTTACATATGCAATCAATTATGTGTTTTACATAGAGATGATATATATATAATAGGCCATAAACTACTTACTATCTGGGATGCACATCCAAGTGAGCGGTGGAATTTCAACTATCAACTGGTGTCAATTTGAACATATTCCTCGCTGCTCAATACAAATAAACTGCAGCAATGCCTGATTTTCTCTATGTTAATGATGGTTATATATAATAGTTCAAATATCATTTTAGTCTATCATGGTTAGATTAAGGAAGTCTTAATGTAGTCCCATGAAAACAAAAACCCTTGGTGGGTTGGTCAATGGCCAATCAATAGATGCTCCAATTGGAAGCACAAACAACTCATCTTGGAATCCGGGTACCCTGGTGGACATCCCCATATGAACAGAACGCTCCATGTTTTGATGCTCATCAATTCAGTTTTCAGGTGATTTGGTAATAACTTTGGTAATAACCTAAGCCCAATCTCCACTTTTGTCGATATTCCTGCTCGCTTGCGAGAATCAGCGTGTTTGCTTCATGAAATCTAATCCAATCGACAGCCTGCCCTTGTTTGGCTGCTGGGTTACAACGTATATCCCAATTTAGTTTGCACAGTTCGGGCACGAGTTCGGTTTCAAACTTATCCCAGACCGTGTTCCCATTTATAGCAAAAGATTCAAGTACATTTTTGTACCTGTCCAAGGTTGACGCAGCTAAATTCCAATTGTTGTAACCTTAAACATCCACATCATAGCAATCCACCAAAAGCTGGAAATTCAAAAAACATATCTTCCCAGGGATATTCTCGCAGAAAGGCCATGATAATCCCCCCCAAAAATAGACATACATCTAATTATATATATACACATTATATTATAACTATAATATTTTATAATCATATCTAATTGGTGGTTTCAACCCCCTGAAAAGTGTTTGTCAGATTGGATCATCATCCCAACTATTGGGGAAAATAAAATTCATGTTCCAAACCACCAACCAGATTATAATCCCCAATATATTGGGTAGTACAATCCCCAATCGTCAACCAGATTATATCACCATTATAATCACCAGATATTTTTTTGAATATCTATATAATCACCAGATATAATGGATTATAATATAATGGTGATTACTGTTATATTCTATCACATTATATGGATTATTTCCATGAAAATCCCCCAAAGGCCAATTTGTGTTCCCGAAATTTCTCCAGGGACTTCCATTTCCGCCGAACTGAAGCGGCCTCGCGAATCTCGAAACCCTCCACGGAAGTTCCCTGAGTTTTGTGGAATTTATGGGAAAAACATGGAAAACCACCAAGAACAATATGGGAGTTTCATGCTTGGTGGTTCACTCCACTTAGGTGGCTTAAACCCAGTCATAAGTAGGGTAAATAGACTTGGTGTAGCTATAACTGGGGAGACATTTCATGGTGGTTGTTGGGGATTGTCATTGAGATATAATAGGTATATTACATAATGGAATATCATTGGGTACCCTAATTTAACATAGCTATGGAAAATGGTCATTTATAGTTGATTTACCCATTAAAACTGGTGATTTTCCATAGCTATGTTTGTTTACCAGAGGGTATATTTTGGATACTATGGCACGATAAATCATGGCAATATTGGGATGTGATGATGTGATGGTAATTTCATAAAGGAAGCGAGCAAAAGCAATTGAGGTTCAGGCGAGGTGTATCAATGGCCATTTCAGGAACCGTTAATTGGAGGCAGCTACCATGTAAGGGAATATCCCCTCAAAATATTGTCTTATATGGTACAGTGGCTTCATTTTAGGATCCTTTTTTATTCCCATTGAATGTATGTGCTTACAACTTGGGCCGTCTACGGCCAGGAAGCAAGTTATGGACTCGTGGGTGAAGCACCGGTTGTACATTTGGATTAAATAATGGCAATACTGGTTGTATCATGGGGATTACCCTCTGGTAAACTGTTACATAACTATGGAAAATCACCATTTTTAATGGATAAATCCACTATTTCTATGGCCACTTTCAATAGCTAACTGTTGACATAACCAGAGGGTTTGTCATGGTTTATCTGAGAATAGGCTACCCCATATTGGGGAGGTATACTCTATTATCACACCCATAGCAAAAATGCAAAAATAGAAGCGTGATTTTTCATGAATATAACCACGATCGTTTATATAGATAGTCATGGTTATATATAGTCAATAATATTCAAGATGCTATGAAAATATACATTATGCACAAGAATTCTACGAAACATCCAAAAATTATAACAAATGATTACCCTCTGGTAATTTAACATAACTATGGAAAATCACCATTTTTCATGGGAAAATCCACTATAAATGGCCATTTTCAATAGCTATGTTAGTTTA